ATTCCCTACAACTTCCAGCAGTACATACAAGCTGGCACCTTGCCAATGGGACCCTGCAGCTATTCTTAAGAAGACCTTGTGGCTTGAAGCAGTCAGTACAGAATTTTTTTGTTATCGCCTCTTTCATGCTTTCAAATGCAGCAGATTTATCAAAATGCTCAGATAGAGCCATAAAAGAATTTCATATTATTTTACTAGAGTCACAGAAAAGGAATCTAAAAATAAAATATCCGCCTGGCTCCTGGGGTAGAAGCACTTCATGTAGCTTTGTGATTTGACATCACAAGAAATTCCAGGGGAGGCTGGGAAAGCAGGGAGGAAGCCGGGTCAAGGAGTATTGGGTTCCAACCTGTGCTTGACTTACTTTGATGATCTGATTTGTTGTATCAAATGGAGCAGAAAAAAAGGCTCTCCAATGAGCATAAGAAGCTACTCTTAGTTCTAATTCACTCCCTTTGATTTCCCTCAGCAGCATAGATTAAAGATGGGTCTTTCTTTTCGCCTGGTGTGTCTCACTATGGTACTCACTAGGAAAGAAAGAACCAGTTTTAAAAGATTCTTTTGTCCAACACAGTCTCTTTAACTACCGAAACATCTTCTAGGATGAAGTGCAGTGGTGTTTGATGGTGGCTGAACTAGAAATCACTTTCTGTCAATCAAATGCAAACCTACTAACTGGCAGCCACATTATGAAAATCAAGCAAAATGATATGGTTGGGGGGACTCACATTAAAAATTCAGTTTTGAATTACCTTACTCCATTCACTTACATAATATAGAGGCACCAAATGGGTGAAAAGCATTGAAACAGCTCAACTGAAATGAATAGGATCATGATTGTTCGAAGAGGACCATATCCACACATCTCTGATAAAGGCTCACCAGGCTGAAGTCATGGCCCAGTCACCTATCAGTTGGTAATGGCAAGACTGAGGTTTGTGAATCAGCAGCCATTGCCAGTCCACAAGAGCAAACATGTTTTAAACATATGTTTGACATGGTGCAATCAATTCATAGACAACTAGTGTATCTAACACTACGTGTGCGGCACTAAGACACCCCGAGAGTCGTGCTACAGAGAGATAACACATTTCCCAGATCATTGGAGGCTCTAATTCGCCCCTTATGCCTCACAGCCCTTTCCAAGAAGTGTGTTATCTTGAAGTAACACACCCTTGGCTTGCGCCTTATTGCTTAATTATAATCCCCAAAATGTCAGATCAGAATAATTGCTATCCCAATTGCCTACCCATTGTAGGCTTTCTGACTTAACCTAAGTGAACATTTAAAGATACGCAAAAGTTGTTTTGTCCTTGGAGGACGAAATTCCTTTATTCTTTTCTAAATTACATTGGGAACAGAGAACGCATGGGGAAAGAAGCTGATAATCAGTGAGTTGAATATTTCTACAGCTGGGGTTTCTAATATAGCCCAGCTTCATAACCTCACCTGCATTCCAGAGCACTGGCATTCCTCTATATCAATATGAGGCCAGGACTGCACACTGTTAGAATTGTATTTGGCAAAAACAGACTTTGTTTGCTTTCCACGGGCAGATAAGAAGACTCTGAGTAAACTCCATAGATTAGATCTCATAAGACACACTTTTATCTTCATACATACTTCTCTACATACCATTTGTTTGTACTAACAGTTTGGTACATTTTATATTAAATATAAGAGACTTCCCCATCAACCCACAAAATGAGTACAATATCTCTTAATGCCTTCCATGAATATTATTAATGCTCGATTTTGTCAAACACAAGTTTCCAAAGTATCAGAAATCCTTTAAAGTCCATTGTGTCTACCACTAACGGGGCAGTTGTTAGCACAACTCTGTGTCATTTACATTCTGGAAAAAAATAAAAAAGCTTCATTGGGCTGCCAATTCCTTTTAGATTAAACATCTAAATTTTTAATCCAGAATTACAGATCTAGACTACAAGACCCCAAGCGACCTTCCAGTTCATCATGCTCACTTACATTCTGAGAAAACTAAACTAGAAAACATTGCCCTCACCTGTGATTTCCAACATGCAAGCTTTTCTTGTGCTGTTTCCTTTTGCATGAATTCTGCTCTTGTTCTGGATCCACATTCTGTTCCATTTTCATTTTTAAACCCAGTTTCACTTATTCACAAGATTCCTGTCTCTCTAAGTCTCTACCTCCACTCCATCAGGCACTGTGTTGGAAGCTCATGTGAGAAAACAGGCTCACATGATCTAACATTTACCATCCAACAGGATATCGCTGTGACTGCGGGCTTCCGGGGACAATGGGTACCCAGCTGAGGATGGCCCACCAGCCTGTGTGGTGAGGTAAGGTTTCCTGAAGAAGGTGGTGTTGAGTAACAATTAAGGATGAGTGTGTGCTTGGTCAGGAGGAAGAAAGTAAAGGCCTTCCCAGGTGGAGCGAATCATGAGCACTGGTGGAGGCAGTTTCTCTCCAAACTCAGCGCCACTCAGGGTCCTGCTCAAGAACCACCGGCGTTGCTGTTTTCTGGATGAGACACTACTTACCTGACACTATCTCATCCTGTGAAATTGGTATAATAGTGCTCATCCTATTTAGTTGAAAAGTTTCTGTAAAAATTGAACACATTAGGGCCTTCCTGGTGGCGCAAGAGGTTAAGCACCACACTATGAAGCAATCCACAGCTGCTGCAGCACGAGTTCGATCCCTGGCTGGCCAGGGAGCAACCCACATGGCGCAGCAGACCTCTCCTGACTCTTCTGCTGCTCCCCTCAGCCGTGTATTTCAGTCAGCCTGCCTGATCTGTTCCCAGCTCTGTCTCTGGTGAATCCTCTCATCCCCCGCACATCTGGGCTGTACCCCAGCTCTTGTATGCATAAATAAATAAATCTTTTAAAAAAGAAATATGAACACATTACTGGACACAAAAGCATTTAGTGATGATACTGTACTCAATACTGTTTGTGTATTACTTTTTATGAATGCAATGATATCTATAATAATAAAGTATTATTTTGTTCAAACAATTATAGAATGCACTATGTAGTGCCTGTGTCAAAATATCCCACTTACTATTGTGGGATTTTGAATGAGACACATTTTGTTTGCATCTCAGTGAATCTTCTTTAACAGAATCATCATATACTCTAAGCACTATGAGAATTAAAGCAGCATGTATAAAGTGTTTAAAACTGTGCATAGCACATTACATAAATAATAAGTAGATCAAAAATTATCTTTCAAAGATTTGTTTTATTTATTTATGAACACAAGAGCTGGGGTATAGGCCAGAGGTATGGGGGGTTGAGAAGATTTGCCAGAGAGAATGGGAAGCAGAACAGGTAGATCTACTGAAATACACTGCTGAGGGGAGAAGCAGGCGAGACAGGAGAGGTCTGTTGCACCAAAAATTATTTTAAATGCAAGCTTGTTTTCTTTCAAAATCATCTCACTTTTTTAAGGACAACTCAAATTCAGGTTTTGTTCTACTATTATATCCACATACCTATTTTAAACCATCTCAATATATTTTTTTAAGTTTGGTGGTTAATTAAATCATCATGCCTATACTTCTTTATAAAGAGGACCAAAATTTGGAATTTGTGTAGTCATTCCGAAAAGTGTGGATTTGGGTTTTTTACAAAAGCAAAATAAATATGAATTCAAAGTCTCTTTATTACTAGTTCCATATAATTATATTGTGACTGTATTCCATTTCTTCTGCTTGCTGAAAGACTGATATTTTAAAATGAGGCTTTTCCCATCAGTCATAACCGAGTATTTTTAAAAAGCATTATAAATTCCCTAATTTTTTTGAAGTTATGTTAATAACAGCCAAGGCAATTGTTCCTTCTGTGTTCAGCTTCTCTTACTAGAAAATGGTTTCCTCTTTGTTAATTTCTGCGTCCCCTTTATGATATCATGTTTGAGAATTCCTAATATACTCATTACTCTGTGAATATTTTCATTATATTTCTATTATTGAGACAGTAGATAATGTTATTATTTTTTATTATTAATTCCTTGTCTTCATATTGTATTGTGACATAGCAGAAGTTAACTATCGTTTTATTCCCACATTAATTCCATTAAGTAGGAACAACTGAGAAAAAAGTGTCATAAACAAATTTAGGTTATGGTTCTAGGAAAAGCTATACCTTATTTTGCTTTTATTTTTATATCTGTATCAATCTTTTTTATTAAACATACTTTGTAGCTAATTTGATTTATATTCTGAGATGCATTATGAATATAAAGTTCACTGATTATATATTTCATATTCTTTCAAATGACTTTTAAAAGGTAGGTTTCCATGGGGGAAGGTGAATGAGTTGAGCCATATTAAGGAATTTTTCCATATTTTCCATCTATGAAAAAATTATACCCCACAAATGGAAATAATAAAATAATAACTTTATTATGTGAAATTATTAATGTTTAGTGAGGTAGCTAATTCCTCATATAATTATTTGAAAGAAAATATCTATGTATGTAACATGTATATACACACATTTATACATATGTAATTTATTTTCTAATTTTTCACAAGCCAACCACTTATTAAAAAGATGCATTATGGACTATGTTAATCAGGACATATTTACATAAGTTTATTTAGAATGCTCAAATGCATGTTATATATATAATACTACTTTTACTTTTGCATCCTGATTCTGCTATTTATTAGATTTGAAATTTGGGGTGTGTATATGAATCTATTGTGAATATCTGGTATCTCATCTGTAAAAAATGTGAGGGAATACCTCTTACTCAGTGTAATGAGAAAGATCCCACTCTTAACGAAGGAGCTATAAAAGTAGCTCTATAACTTTTTTTAATTTCATAATTATCAGTAACATTATAATTTTAAAACCTCTTATTGAGGCAAGTATATATAAGCTTATATTTTAGGAGAACCTAAGAGTTAATTAAAAGTTGTGCTTGTAGCAAACTCTAAGTTATCTCAGTTGTTTTCCATGTTTTTCTACAGTAACAAGTATGAATCTTTGATGCCTAATATTTACCAGGAATCCAGATGAACACTTTCTTCTATTAGTTCATTTTATCCTTCGAAGTACCATAAGGAGAAATTATTAACCACCTTGTGTATACCTGAAAAATGAGCTTGAGACAGATTTGTAATAATTAACAATAATGCCAAAATAATCAGCAAATTATTTATAATAATTACATGTATTCTAGGTAAGTTGTGGCTTTACAGCCATGTATACCTGATTTAATGTGCACCATGATGTGCTTTTTATATTCCTTTTATATATATTCTATATTTAGGAACCCCAATTAACAAAGGTTTCTTCATGGGTGATTTTCATATCTAAACCAGTCTTAGATACAATGTCTTGGTGGGCAAGTTTTATTTCACATATTTCTTATGGTACAAAGAATTTAACTGTGTGACTCATAAATACCTCTTTTAAAAAAGATTTATTTTTATTTATTTACGCAATAAAGAACTGGGGTATAGGCCAGAGATGCAGGGGGTGAAAAGATTCACCAGAAACAGAGTGGGGAGCAGAACAGACAAATCTACTGAGATACACTGCTAGACAGGAGAGGTCTGCTGCACCATGTGGGTTAGATCCCTGGCCGGGAATCAAACTCATGTTGCAGTGGCTGGTGATAGCTTGATAGTGCTGAGACTTAACCCCCTTATGCCACCAGGGAGGTCTGTGACTCACAAATATCTTTACAGAATGAATATATTAAAAATATCAAACAAATGAGTATATCTTAAATTAACCATGGAGGCAGAGGTAGGAATAACATTTTAAATCCTTGTCCCTAATACTTAATTTTTTCTCAACTAATTATGACTGATAAGGGCAAGTCCTTGATAGTAGTATTTAAATAGAAATAGACACATGACTAAGCCTTGCTCAGATAGAAATATTTAAAGGCTAATCAGTATTTACATGTACCCTCTTCAGAAGCCAGAGAAATGATAGTGGGGTCACATAATCCAAAACCTGACAACATCTAAAATAGAACTTTTATTCAGGCTGAAATAAATTTCCTGAATAAAAAATATCTGCATCCCTAATAACACAGGAAAAGAAACAACTACAAATGTTACAGTGTGTTCAAAATACTTATTTTTCTAATTGGTTTACCTAGTTGCTTGTATTCTGCCATGTATGTGAACATGGCAGTATAAGTTTCCCTTTGAATTAGTGGAGTGTAGTATCCCCCTCTCATGTGCTGCTACCATCGTCCACCACCACTAATGGATTTCCCTCCCTGCTTTATTAGAGCTCCTTCCTCCTCTGTATCACTCAGTTCTTTTTTTTTTTTTTTAAGATTTATTTATTATGCATATAAGAGCTGGGGTAAAGGCCAGAGGGGTGTGTGTGTGGGGAGGGATGAAAGGATTCACTGGAGACAATCGGGGAACAGAACAAGCCAATCGAACAAAGTACACCACTTTGGGAGGGGAGCAGCGGGTGAATCAGGAGAGGTCTGCTGCGCCATGTGGGTTGCTCCCTGGCTGGCCCCAGGGATCGAACTCGTGCTGCAGTGGCTGGGGATAGCTTCACAGGCTGCGTTTTAACCCTGTGCCACTAGGGAGGCCACTGGATCGCTCAGTTCTATAGTTAGTTTTCAAGAGTTAGTTTTTAAGCTTGGCTTTATCTGATCCTCTGTTTTTTGTTTTTGTTTTTGTTTTTCATTATATTCCATATATAAGTGATGCTATTTGGTATTTACTTTCTCTTTTTGATTTATTTTGCTTAGCATATCACTTTCAGTTCCATCCATGTTGACCCAAATGGCTTGAGTTTGTCTTTTTTTTTTTTTCAAATGTCTAGTATCCCATTGTGTGAATATGCTGCATCTTGTTGATCTACTCATCTGTTTGGGGGAACCTAGGTTGTTTCCATATTCTGGCTATAGTAAATTGTGCTGCTGTGAACATGGCAATACAAGTTTCCCTTTGAATTAGCGTTTTTGTGTTCTTTGTGTAGATACCTAGGAGTGGTCTTTCTGGGTTGTATGGCAGATCCATTCATTTGGTAGAAATATTAGTTTCCCTTGACATACTTCTTCCTTTCTAACAACAGAGAGAGATTTGGAGTTCATTTTTATTTAATGGTGTGTAATGCTGTAGCTTATGTTGGTATCAGATACTAAGAGAACCATCCTATTAGAAAACTGATAGGAACATTTTATAACAAATGATAGTGATCATCATGGAAAGGTACTAAACTATACTCCAATTGAAAAGGTTTCCCCAAATACTTCCAAAAGTCTGAGTCATCAAATTTTAACAAAGTAAGACTTCAAAGATACAGCAAACTATATCATTTTGAACTTGTGCTTCTAATCAGTACATACTGTAAGGAATATGTTTAAAAATCTTTTTTTTAAATATTTATTTATTTATTTATTTATTTATTTATTTATTATTTATTTATTTATGCAAGCACTGGGTACAGTCAGAAGTGTGGGAGGGTGAGGGAATTCACCAGAGTCAGAGCGGGGAACAGAACAGGCAGAATGACAAAATACACTGCTGAGGGGAGCAGCGGGCATGGCGGGAGAGGTCTGCGCGCCATGTGGGACCCTCGCCAGTGGCCGGGGATCGAACCTGCACTGCAGAGGCTGTGGGCAGCTTCGCAGCCCACTGCTCAACCGCTGCGCCACCAGGGAGGCTCTGTTTTAAAAATCTTAATTGTATTATTTTATAAAAGAAAAATGCCTATTAGTTTGACTTACATTGAAAAATCTCCTTGAACACACTGTAACTTAGCTGTGCTGGGAATTGTAATTGTACAGTGATCATTTGTCTTCTCTTTCTATTTCTTTATTTTTTTGAATAATTTATTTATTTAAAAAATTGATTCATTCTTTAAATTGTGGTGACATTAGGATCCTCCCTATCAGGTATTGCCACCACAGGAAACTCACTACCAAAACATCCATAGTCCACCACTAAAGAACTGTCTTCTCATTTTTGGAGCAGAGGTAAGTTGTTAAGTCTTGGGTGTCATTGTCCCACAATATTCATACTTAGAATTTGACATGCCTTGACAAATGTTCACAATTATGGCATACTTTTAAACTTTTCTTATTCTTTATAAGGAAATAAAAACTAGACAAAGATATAATGTTGTTGCCAATTATTGGAATTTAGTCAATGTTTTCCTACTTGAGATGACATAAACTTTTAAATAACACCATCTGGAGAGTTAGCAGAAATAGAAATGAAGTACTGAGTGTATGAAATTACATGACTATGGCTAATATAGTCTTAAATAATTTCTATTCAAGTATAATGAAGCATTTTTAAATGAATCCTGTGCTTCACCAAAATGTTTCACCCCATTTTCAGAACTATTAGAAAACCATTATTTTATGGAAAAATTAAAGTTTCCCTTTTCCTTAAAACTTAACATTTTTTATTGTTCTTCTCATGGAAATTTAGAGAAAGTAAACATGAGTACAGATTCCAGAGGTTATGTAATAAAACATCGTCATTTGATAAGAAAACTGAAAGTGATACTTGTTTTTTCCTGTGCCTTGGCACTGACTTTTCTCTCCTTCTGGAACATTTTCACACTTACCTACACTTAGATTTTGACTTTGTCGCTTTTAGATCTTGGCTCAAATGTCATCATCAAGGAGGTCTGCTCTGACCACAGTATAAAATCAATATCTCTATCCTATTATCCTGGCTTTTGCACTCTTTGCAGTTATTTTACTCGATTTTCATATTTGCTGTTATTCATTCATTTTCTGTCTCCCTCTTCTAAAGTGTTACCACCACAAAAAAACAAAACAAAACAAAAAAAAAACCCAAGAAATTTATTTTCTTCACTGTCGCATCCCCAGTTCCTATATCAGAACCTGGCCAACAACAGGACCTCAACTGGTATTTGTTTAAAAACTGACTGGATACATGAGTGGATGAATTCAAAAAGTCATAATTGTATATGTTTAATAAGGACCTGTTATAACGTATTGGTTGTATTTCATTTACTGACCTAATTGCATGACCCATTTCCCCTCCCTACTCCATATCTCTTATGATTTGTCTACTTTACCGGGTGTTTATATCTTTAGTGCTCATCATGTTCATAGACCATTACTCAGTATAAAATACTTTTCCTACCACCCTCTAACCTGAATTCCAACTACAGAAATTCCAGTCATCTTTCAAAGTTTTCTTTCCTTCACAAAGTCCTCTATTTTTCCAACACAATGTGCCCCAGGGCTACTTCTATATTCCCATTATAGTTTTCACTCACTTTAATTTTCATGTCCTTCAGTGTCCCGACCCGCGGGGTTCAGAGGCACGGGAAGAGAAGGGCTGAGGATTGAAATGAGGGGCTTGACGACTTGACGCTAGCGTTTACTTCTTTATTTTTCCTTTTACTACTTTTACATAACTTTCTTTTCCCTGACTTTCTTACTTCCCTGACCTTCTCTCTGCTCCTCTCGCTATAACCTCTCTCAATGACCTCTCGCAATAATCTTTTCCTTCTCGTGGTTCTCTTCTTATATCCTGGTAGCTCCTCCCATCGTACCTCCCAGTCTCATTTGATTAATAGGAAACACCTGTGGTTTCTCAGCAGGCAAACGGTAAAGCAAAAACTAATTAATGGCACGTGTGTTGCGCAACACGGCGCATGCTCCAGGCGGCTCCGGACACTTCAGTCCCCAGCTGATACTGGAATTTAAACACTTGGTTAGTAAAGAAGCTAACATATTTCTAAATATAACAAGCACAAAGAATTGCATAGTTACGATAACTAGAAAAGACAGAATAAATGAATCTAATTTAATATTTTATTATTGAGACTCGGTGAGGTTGATGCTAAAAATCACTTCAAATTCCTATTTAATTAATCCAATCTGCCTTTTATTTATTTATTTTTTAAAATTTTATTTATTTATTTATACAAGCACTGGGTACAGTCAGAAGTGCGGGAGGGTGAGAGAATTCACCAGAGCCAGAGCAGGGTACAGAGCAGGCAGAAGAACCGAAGTACACTGCTGAGGGGAACAGCAGTTGGCAGGAGAGGTCTGCGTGCCATGTGGGACCCTCTTCTGGTGGCCAGGGAGCAGCTGGGGATCGAACCGGCGCTGCAGAGGCTGCGGGCAGCTTCGCAACCCAGCGCTTAACCGGGGAGGCCCTCAATCTGCCTTTTAAAAACATGAAGCCAATTTAAGTTGACTAACTTGTACGAAATTAAAAATAAACTTGCAAAATTTTATCTTTTCTCCAAAAAATCCTATCCATACATGGCTTGGGGAAAATATGTATATAGTGAATGATGACTGTTTTAAAAAGGGAAAACATATTATCCACAGAAGTTGACAGTGTGGTGTTTCTGTCTTTGAAATAATTCAGTCTGTTATAAAATGGAGAAGCCATTATGTATAGCGCTTAGTTTCCCATGCATTTGTTCAATAATACAAACACTCAATATCTAGTGCAATGAACACACTTTTAGTGTATGTCTAGTCTCTCCCATACATATAATATTTATGTATAGAATATTCATAAATGATGACAATAAGAAAATTTGGGGAAAGAAGCTGAAGTGGGATCCTTTTCCTCCAAGTTTTCTCAGTCTCTAAAGCTGTTCCTGATGGGTGGGCAGCCAATAAGTATCAGCACTGCACGCCTCCCGACATAGCATCTGATCTTGCTCTTTGTGGCCATTTCTTAACATTAGTGGGAAGCAGCACATATTGACACTGAAATCTATTTAAAAGCCAGGTTCCTGACAACTAAACTTCAAGAAAGCAGAGGCTTTAAAAATGCACATAGGCACACTGTGTTGACAGCAGGCACTATTGACTTTTCCTGCTGAACAATCCCATGCCAAGGGCTCAGTGAAGGCACGAGGAGCCTGGGGGAGAAAGTAGCTGGTTTTTCTTAGAAACTACCTGCTGTCAGTCAGCTTGGCATCATTTGAGGAAGCAGGTGCTCCACAAGATAAAAAGAAAGATCGTTACAGAATTGTTTTCCTTTTCTTTCGTTTTTTTGACAACTCATTGACTTTGGGACCTAGTTGTGATGAAAGTTCAGTTTACCTTGACAAGATAGCTTTTTCTCCAGACTATTAACCCAATCACTGGCCTGTGACAGATTAAGGGAAGGGAAACATAGAAATTTGACTTTTCCTACCTTGACTCCCTTTTATTTCTGCACACACAAGCTGTACCCAGGTAGAGACAAACCATGCCTGCATTTCAAGTACAATCTCCCCAAACCAATGACTATGCAAGTGTTTTTTGGCTTTTTTTCATTGTGTGCTTTCAGATCTGTCCCTCTTGACATCACTGATGACTCGAATATTACACTTTGCATGAAGAGGATGAATTGATCACCTGAAGAGGATGAATTGATCGGAAGGTTAGTAGATTAAATGTGTGTGACTCTGACTTATGGTATTGGTTACAATTTACAGGAAAAAGTGATGGTTTGCATTGCCCCAATTTCACAACTCAAATTTCTATTCTGGCTGTTCGATGCCACTATCAAAACTGAAGAAAAGAAAGACTTTTAAATGCTCTTGATAAAAGTGGAATAATGAGAAAAAAGAAGGCAAAGAGCCACATGTAACAAGCAAAATCAAGAAAGATTTAGTTTAGAGTCAAACTTTAATTCATTTAATTATAATAATATGCATATAATTGTGAATATATAATTAGAATAAAAAATAAACTACAAATTGCCAGATTTAAAATGCCAATATATACTTTAACACAAAATCAAACATAGTAAATATTCTGACTCATTAATTTCCTATACTTTTCTCTATATTTTGGGACTTCATAGTGCTTGGTTAACCCTTTCATGCGATAGTGATTTTTGTAATGTCTGCTTCTATAGAGAGAATAGAAAAATAGCTGAATCTTTCCTCTAGCAGAGTTAATCAAAAGTCGTTCTTGGAAAATCTGTCTTTGTTTTCACAGCCCATTGGTAATGACCCACCTGAACTTGATTTGCCCTGGTAGGTAAACAAGACACTTGGTAAATAAGACACTTCCCTCACATGCATCCTTAGTACTTCCCATACTGCTCTAAGGCTGATCTCTAAAGATGGGGATCCAAAGGAAAACATAAGTAATGTGCAGTTTTAATTATTTATACTTCACTATCAGGAAGTATCTTTTTTTTAAAGATTTTTTTATTTATTTTATACAAGAACCGGGTATAGACCAGATGCGCGGGAGGGTGAGAGGATTCACCAGAGACAAAGTGGGGAACAGAACAGGCAGACTGACTGAAAAACACTGCTGAGAGGAGCAGCAGGCGAGACAGGAGAGGTCTGCCATGCCATGTGGGACCCTTGCTGGCCGGCTGGGATCGAACCAGCACTGCAGAGGCTGCGGACAGCTTCACAGTGCGGTGCTCAACCACCTGCACCACCAGGGGAGGCCCTCAGGAAGTATCTTTGAATGAGCAACCATGGATACCAACTTCTTCATCAATCTGTCTAATTATTAAAATCATTTTTAACAGATCAGTTTTAATTTCTATGTCTGTGCTGAGAACGTTGAAGAATTGATAGGCTGTTGAGTTTTCTGGGGCTCTAGGCTAGGAAACCAAAAGTTCAGGCTGAGGAGTTGGGTTTATTATGGTGGCAAGAAATTGTTTTTTTTTTTAATACATCATCATAGAAATTTAAATTACCTGCCATATAGCACACCTATTTCAGCATAGTGCATCTGTCACCACATTTAATTTTAAAATATTTCCGTAATCCCAGAAAGAAAATCTATACCATTTAGCATTCACTAATGTCTTTAGTGCCTCTGGGCCTTGGCAATCACTAATCTACTTTCTATGGATTTTCTTTTCCTGGACTTTCATATAATTGGAATTATGTGATATTATTATCTTCATGTCTGTGTTCTTTCCATTAGATTAATGTTAACACATTTCATCCATGTTGTAGCATGTATTAGTAATTAATTCCTTTTTGTTGCTGAATAATATTCCATTATATGGGTCAACCACATTTTATTTATCCATTCACAGTTGATGGACCTTTGGGTGATATTTAGGAAAAACTCCCTGTTTTTATTCCTTTATTCTACTCTCATTGCTGAGAACACTTCATGCTGGTTACAAATTGTGTGGGAATCCTTCAACACCAAGCTATTCTCTGAATGATAGACAATTTGATTTTGACACTAAACAGGGTTAGTGCACCCACAGGTTAAAGATTTTCCTCAAACTCAGAAGCCAACTGCAAATCCAGGTTGTCACTTATGATTCTGAACGATTGAATATAAATCAGAGCTCCCCACAACTTCACCTTCAAGTTTAATTAATTTACAAGAGATTTTCACAGAACTCAAGAAAACAGTTAACATCAGTTTATTATGTAATAAGGGACATGATACAGAATATAGAAAGCCAGATGAATCGATCTTTAGGGAAAAGTCTGAAAGGGCCCCCCAATGCAAGAACTTCTATACTCATAGAATTGGGGTGCAAGTTTGCTACTTTCCCAGCACCTGGATGTGTTCACCAACACAAAAGATCTCCCATTCAAATACTTAAAAGATTTTTATGAAGGCTTCCTTCATTAGGTAGAAATGATCAATCATTAACTCAATCTCCAACCCGCTTCCCTTCTGGGTGAGAGGGGCACCCATGGGTGTTGAAGGGCAACGTTGGAGCTGAAAGTTACATGCTTTCATGAAGACTTGGTCTTTCTGGTGATCAGCAATCACCCAGAAGTCCACCCAGAGTGTCCTCATTGAAACAAAATACATTTCTCTAACACAGAAAATAACAAGGGATTTGGGAACTCATGGCCATGAACGAGGGTCAAAGATCAAATATTAGAACAAAAAATGTTCCCAATGTTCTTTCAGGAAATTACAAGAATTTTAGGAGCTGTGTTCCAGGAACCAGAAAGATTCATAGATTTTTTATATTTGTTTACATGTTGTTCAGTTTTGGGTTATTACCAATTTTGTGTGGATGTATGTTTTCAACTCTCTAATGTGTAAGAATTTTCTTCTATATGAATTAGCATTGTGTACACTATTTCACATGGAAACTCTATTTAACATTTTGAGGTGCTAACACACTGTTTCACTGTTTTACATTCCCACCAGCAGAGTATAATGATTCTTATGTCTCCACATCCTCACTAACACTTGTTATTATTTGTCCTTTTCATCTTAGTCATTCTAATAGGTATCCCATCAGAAAGTTCCCTCACGTTCTTTTCCCATGTTTTGTTAATCAGCTTACAGAGATCCTAAGTGGTTTTAATTACTAGTAATAGTGACTTATTAATTACAATAGTGAATGTTAGTATAGAACTCTCTTTGTGAATATCTAATATTTAATTAATAGGGAAAGCATTGCCACAAAATAGTCTTATTTTCATGGAAAGATGCATTAGATTATTTCCTAATTCGATTCTTTTCTAATCCAATTATGAAATCTGCAATAGTTTGTAAACACCTGCTTGAAGTGGTAGAATTTGATTTTGGTTAATAGATGGTCAGGATTTACAGATATTAAATGAGTGTTCTCACAATTTTCTTTCATTTTTAAGCATTTGTTGTATTCCTGAATATGAATTTATACATTTTGTGAATATAGTATATTTGTTGAAGACAGGTGTGTAACTTTCGATGTATTTATTCAACAGCATATGAAAGGGTCAAATTGATCTCACTTGACTTAG